AACTTGCGTCGAACGGAACGTCGTTTTTGCTTCTCTATGTGTTTGGGAGGTTTTCTCTTCTTCAAGTCGTATGAAAGCTAGGTCTGTAACTTAATTACTACTTTAAGATCTTGGTTGAAAATTGAAATTGATTGTTTAATGTCATAGTAGGTAGGTAATATTGTGCTTATAAAAATATAATCACTTTCCTAGATCTCTAGATTTATTGACCGAAACTTGAATTTGAATAAAAACCATATTAGCCTTTATAACGAACGCATTTATCTTCTCTAGTTTCTGAAGTGGGATAGATAACTAGCATAGGAGTTATTTTAGGCCACAAATACCAACCTATGCCATTTTAGAATTAATATTCTTAGTAACTACTTTATGTATCGTTATATTGCCCCTTAAAACCAGCTTTTATCTGTTTAATGACGCTATAACATACCAGTCCTGTATATCCCTTGCGCGTTATTTTCGCAGCGTCCATAGTTTTATGTTTACTAGCGCCACCTAGCATTGCGTGCGTATCGGAAATTGTGTACCATTAGCCAGTTCCGCGAACGCTCCCCCCTCCCCCCACCATCCTGTCTGCGATGCGGGCATACTTTTACTTTCGCGACGATATGTATATCGTAGTTATAGAAGCGTAGTACAAGGGCACTGTTTTGTTTTGAAGGTATACTGCCGTGTGTTGTCACCAGAGCGGCGCTAGTGACGCATTCTTTAACCTTCAGCTGCCGAATCGTTCCGAACGCAGGTTCCGAATATGACTGCGTTTGGTTGACCTAGAAAAATGACCGAGTCGATGAAATTGATTTTGTTTTCGCATGTTAAAATGCCCTTCATAAGCACTTGTCAATATTGATTTACAAATAAATCTAACGAAAAAGGATGTCCAATTTGCGTCGAGTGTCTTTGCTAAACTCATTAAAATAAGTGAATCCTCAGTTGTAAAAACAAGGTGAGTCAATTTAACCTGGCAGGTTAGTCACCGCGTCAACAATAGTGCGGACTTGATGACTCACGCCGTGTTATTGTAGTCAATAGGTCAAAGGAGGCGGTTATTACACAGATTATAAAGGAATGTTTGAATAATAGAACATGAAATAATTTGACGTATGGAGGGCGCCACTGTGAAACAAATCTGTCATAAACGATTTCCATTGAGGTATGTAATTATTTGCTGTCCGTATGTTAGTGTTTGTATAGATATACTCGAGTTGACGTCATACTGGTACTTCTTTTCAAAGTCAGCTGACAAATTGATTAATGATTTCAAAGCAAACAGAAATAAATGAAAAATTAACCAGCTTTTCATACCTACATAATAGTAACGCACAGATTAGAGATTCATTAAGAAGGATATAAAGTGGACGTTAATAGTGACTGAGTTTCTTGCGCTGCTTCTTCTCAGCACTGGTCCATTTATTGTCCCGAAGCAGTGGTAGGGTTAATACTGGGACGTGTAACAGTGCTTTTTAAAGCCTACTTGCATAAATAAATTCAGTTTAATGAGTTTTTTTTATTGTCTCCCAAAAATAGATTAGGTAGGTACTTAGATTAATAAAGTGGTAGGTAGGTAGTTAGGTACTTCTAGACTCTCTAAAGTTCTTAAAGTTCGCTGGAGTTGTTTTTTTTTTGCACTTAATTATTTTTTGACTTAGCTTGTTGGATTAGTTATGTGCAAGCAACCACAATTTTAGCAATAAATAACTATGTAATTTGATGTAATCCATACAACGTAACATTAACATAGAAAAAGCTACCTCCGGGCTAAGTCTAGCTTGCTAGACCTGATTATACGACAAATAAATGGTAATTTTATGGAAATTGTCAAGTCCAATAAATAATAAAAAGGCACGTTTAATGAACCGAGTTTTTTGCTAAATTACCAGCCGTCTGGCAATTTTCTACGGTGCCGTTTGAGGCGTGATTTTAACAGCTGAAAGTTTATTACAATTACCGCTAATTTTGATGTAGAAAGGGAACATTTAGAGAAATTACGCATTTAAGGTCTTTCGGAGGGAAAACTCAAGTGTGCTTAGGTCGTAAAATTAAGTACTTTTGTTAAAGATTCCAAATTTTAATTATGACAAAGGTGTCTGTTTCTTTCGCCACTTCTTCTCAGGACCAGCCCATATTATGTTGTCTCGAACTGGTGGTAGCTAGCAAGCTATTTGGGACGTACACGTCTCTGGCAAAACCCTCCACTATAGTGGAGAAGGCATGAGCCTGCTGAAAAGTCCACTGCTGGAATATGAAGACCAGCAGTGGACTGTAAAGGGATGATGATGATGATGACGTCTCTAGAAAGGGCTTATTTTGATTTAATTTGAATTTAAGTAGTCGTAGTCATAATCTAGAAACCAGGATGTTTTTATTTGTTATTAATGACCACGTCTTTAACTCTTCGGGCTGTTAAATACTTTCAAAATATTACCTACTTTACCTTTTACTTCTGCTGCTTCGTAACGTAATGTGTGTCATATCGAAATATTTATTGATGCACCGACGACTTCAAGTAAACAAGCATTTCATGAAGTTGAAATAAGTGTTACTTTTCTACAAAAAAATAGAATTTTAAAATATACTACCGTTTTTAAACGGTTACTCTTGAAAGATGCCGATTGGAGTAACAATCGTTAAACTTAATTAGATTTTAAATTGCAAATTTTATGAACAATTCATTTAATACTCTACTTACAGCGTGTGATATACATAAAAGCGCTGAGTTTCCTTATACATTGAAATTGCTCGGAATTTGTTATCATTTCCTTTTAATTTAGCATAACGCCCGCTTTAGTACAGTTAAATGGCCAATGACCACGTTGGGCCTTATGCGATGGTCTGATTCAACTGGTTTTATAAAAACCCAGTCGGCTTTTAATACTACTAAAGTGTCTTATTCTGCGAAGAGAATTCGATGATTTTTGAATCACCCTGCGAGTTTGTCTCGAGAGATATAAAGGTACGTTCACACTGCCACGGGGCGTATGCGGGGCGTCCGGACGTGTGTGTAATGAATTTTATAGAGAGATCGTTGAGCGTACTCGAAAGACTTGCATGCACTGCGTGCCTTAATCTATCTTATTTATTTCGCATTCATTGATTTTGCGAAAAAACCTACCTGAAATCTGTTTTTGTAAAAATCGCTTACATAAAGAGTCCCTGGTATGGAACTAAAAATTAATAAATAACAGGATATAAAGACACTTTTTTGTACACAATTATTTATTCGTTACACGTGTCACGTACTTACATACCTTACATTGACAATTTTACATGTTTACTTGAACATTAACCTCTAAATACCAAAAATAACGGTTTCTAAATAACTATCTATCAGTATGTATTGGTGAAACTCGTGGAAAGTTGCATTTGCATGTGCAAGTACGTACATGCAGTTCCACTTAAAAATTGTATGTGTGTGACAGCACAGCCTTTTAAATTCAACTGACTCACTGAAAACTGTTATTCAGGGTTGTAACGCTATAAATTAATATTTGATTATGCTCACATAGCTAATAAATAAACAAATAATTTCTTAAAAAATGTATTTTGTAAATTCCAAAGCTTGGTATAAATTGAATTAAAGATTTTTCATGTGGTTACTTACAAAACGAAAAAGAAACCACAAATCTTGAGTATAAAAATACTATTAATCAATACTTGATGATTATGTAAAAAATAATAAGAAGAATAAAGGGTATAATTTTTATTACTTTTCATTATTTTTAGCTGCGTGTTTTATGTCAGTTGAAATTTGCAATTGGCGATCAAGCAGGTTATCCTGGCTTGACTGGAGTTGATATGATAGAAACGAGAAGTGGAATAGGAAAAAGTAAAATAGATACTTTTTACAATGTGCCACCCCTGGAAACTTTAACCCGGCTCACAGTTACACATGCCGTCGCCGTTTTGCTCATTAGCATGTCATATCTAACGAATCTAATTACAATAAATGGGAAATTGCCTGTTTTACAACAACATGACAGTTTGCTAATAATATTTTGCACGTTTATTTTTAGCACTGAACTTACCGTTACATTTTAACTACAACGTATTCGTATTGACTAGTCTAAGGCAATCGTTAGGTAGGCAATCATTAAAGAAGGAGAATGAGAATTTTATACTATCTTCTATACGTTTCTTTTTCTTATTATTTTTATAGAATAACCATAATAGTAAGATGTCTTTCTGAAATAATAAGATGACAGTCCTAGTATAAATCATCGAAATTATTTTTCAAATGTTACTTTGAGGTACAACCTCCCGGATACAGTGCGTGAGTGAGTGACTAATGTAGTGTTACTGTGTTACAAAATTATAATTAATGCTTGCCAAACCTTTCAAATGAGTAGGTATTCAGTCATAACTTTATTTAAGGTGCAAAAACAGATGTTGACTCAGTCATCGTGTTATGACTCAAATGAGTAGGCTGTTGTTTGTTTATTATTTAGTTGTTTTATTACTTCGAAGAAAGGAATTCATTGATACATCCGAATGACTTCTGACTTACTAACACGATTTTGACATTGTTTTTTCCGAGTTAACTATCCTTACAAAACGTGCACACAAATGTTAAGATAGCTAGTGACAAACATGCATTGATTTTACATATTGTACACGTTTTTTAAGTCATAAGACTTTTCGATGGCACACGCCATACGTTAGCGATTACATGGAGATTTCATAATGTTCTCGACATTTGAGTTGAAGCAATTTTATTTCCTCCTCTCGTTCGAGGATACACGTACATTTTAACGTGGCAAATGTAAAATATCTTTAGAGTATTATTCTTCTTTTCTGTAATTGTGCACATCAACGTTTTAAGTCTCATCAATCGTAGATAGTTCAAGTTCACATTTCAGTATAATTTGTGCATGACCAGTCCCCAAGAAGGAATCCATTATTTAAAGTTTGTTTTTCCGTGCGGAGGTTACTCCCCTTCTCTTTATTTAAGTGTTCGTGTTCCATGTTTCTATTTCCTAACCCACTCTTCTCGTTATTTCCAGGCCCGGGCAGACGGATCACGGGCACGGCGGCGGCGGCGCCCTGGCTTACGGCGGCAAGCCGGCGGCGGGCGCGGTGGTGGCGCCTCCGCAGCCGCGCGCGCCGCCCGCCGCGCCCTACGCGCAGCCCTACTCGCCTGCGCTCCGGCTGCATCAGCCCGGGTATGGCTCGGCTGCCCTCACTTTCAGGTGTGTACAACAAACAATTCTTTCCGTTAAGATCTTGCCTGAATCCTGATCCTACGTAACGGCTGGTTTTAGTGTCACGCGGACCGTCCGTCCGAACCGAACGATGAACTGCTAGGGGAGCGGAGCGGTTCCTCCGGACCGCATTACTCTAAAACGCTCCCTAGAAGTTCATACAGATTGGCCGTGCGGAGCGGGTCTGCACCGGACGGTCTGGCACTGACAGTCCGCGTGACACTAAAACCAGCCATAGACTGTGAAGCTGACGTTTAATTCTACATTCTCACGAAAATTGTCTCAGGTTAGGCCCCTCTTTACTCTGGTCAGAGATCCTGGGTCACGTTCACGTGCCCTGGGCCCCGATTACGCTAATTTTTAACGTCTCCAATACAGACGCGCTTCTTCGATTTCTTCGATTCTGCGATACGGATTGGTCGAAACAGCTGACGTCAGCTGTTATGTTTGTTTAACGCAGATCGAAGAAGCGCGTCTGTATTGGAGACGTTAAAAATTAGCGTAATCGGGGCCCAGGGCCGCTCCTGCTCTCTGAAGAGTTCTAAAATGCAATGACCTTTTTTTAATAGAAGAGTATCCAGGATAGTAAGTTAAAGACGGCTTGTTTATGGTGGTAAACCAGGATGGTTCAAGGCACTCTTCCAGTCAATGTACTTAAAAAAGGCATCCTCAAAATTCTAGATAAACTTCCAAATCACCATAATAACTTCGTCAATAGTTTTCAAATTCCATCAGCACGTCGTCGTACTCAACTGCACTTGCTTTTACATGTCTCTGATAACTTCCAAGATACCCGTGATTGATGGCTCCATTCGTACTTTTACGTAAATGTAATTACCAACCGAGAACGCTAATCTTACATATCATTTACAGCCGTAACTTTAACCGTTGTACATAATGAATCTTCTTCGTTTATCTCAATGGAAACGTTATTAGGGTTGCAGAAGAACGGCCAAATTACAGTGGCACAATGCTACGGAACCGCTGCGTCGAGATAAGGGAAGCCATTGTTTGTATTCAGGGCAGGGTTGATACAATTTGCGTAATCACCAGATGGTGAATATTTATAAGATTGTTTTCGATTCGGAGACTTGTGAGAATAATTTTAAAGACAAATTATGTTAATGTGTGATGTTAAAGGCTCGCATTCTAAACGGAGCTCGAGCATGGAATCCAAGAAGTCCCTTGATGATTTCAATTTTTTTTAAAACAGATCAACCAGTCTTGAATCTGTTCTAAAGTGTAGTTCCATAGATTCTGGTGATTAATTAGAAATTAAGAGCATTAGTATAATCAAGGCAATTCAGTCAGTCAGTAACTTCTCAGATCTAAGATATCTCAGATTATGCCAGATAAATCATTCTATACATTTTTCGTTTACAAGATCTGCAAATTATTTACTGCTGGCAAACCTTACGAACGAGGTTATTCACCTCTCATTGAGACACAAATAAATATTTTATGGTAATGTCAAGAATAACTACACGTTCAACAATTTTAAACAATAGAACTGATATTTCAAATTGCCTAACTGTAGTACCAATAGTAATAACTATGTATTATGATGAATGTCTAACCTTGTTAAATAAAATACGTGACAAAATAACCACCCCACTATTATTAAACCGTTTTGTCGTTATTTATCTTAGTCTTAGACAGGTTAATTAAAATACGATACTTTAGGTTCTTAAAATCACTCAAAGCGTGAAAGTATATTTCTTTATACTAAAAAACAGTTTGTATACAACTCTATGCAAAAAAACATTAAAAGAAGAGAACGAAAACTGGTAGAGCGTCAATACATAAATATCAAAAATATACCGTAAAATTATTATGGTCAGATATTAGTATTTTATATCTCAAATCTAATAAATAATAACTGAATTAACCGGTGCATTTAATTTGTATCATTAATATTTACATCATGCTTTAATAGAGACTATTTATAACATATGCTAAAACATATTTAACTCATAGTTTTAATTAAATGCCGTTTGTTTCATATTAAATTGTTATTAGGTTTCAAAACTGAGCAGTAAAACCTATGCTATAAGCACTAAATCCTATAGCGGTATTAGCGGTCTTTCTACTAAAACCTATCTCTTGAAGAGTGTTTGCAGACAGATTTATTACTTATTTAGTGATGATTTCATTTTATGATGTTGATTTTGCATAAAAATCTTGAATTATAATAAACTAGCTTTCCGCCCGCGGCTTCGCCCGCGTGGAATTTCGTCTGTCACAGAAAAACTTTATCTCGCGCGTCCCTGTTTCAAAAACCGGGATAAAAACTATCCTATGTTCTTTCCCGGGACTCAAACTATCTCTATGCCAAATTTCATCAAAATCGGTTGCGAGGTTTAAGCGGGAAAGCGTAACAGACAGACAGACAGACAGACAGACAGACAGAGTTACTTTCGCATTTATAATATTAAGTTGGGATTATAATAAATTTATCATTTCATTAGTAAAAAGCGATTTTTGAGAATAAAATCCTTTAATAGAAGAATCTACATAATGATCTAGTGTGGGTTTCGTATAATTTTTGTCAAAAATTATACGGGGATCCTTGAAATGATTTGTGACATCCCTGTTGTACTGACAATAACAATACGCATGGGAATCAGTTTTTGTTCAATAACGTGGATTTCAAGCATTGCAGACCGTGCGAAGTCACCGTCGCGGTAGACAGACAAATCTTTTCATTTTAACATTAACAAACATACACCTTCATGATTGTTGTCTGTATTTAGAATCATAATAGTGTCATCAGTATTTTTGGTTACGAAATGAACGAGACAGTATAGTTTTCATAAAAATAAACATGAAAAAACATGAAACATGGCGCTGACATGTTTTTATTACATGGGTCATCCAAGTTGTAGTGGCAAAGTTCCAATTGCTGAATTGTTACTGACTGCCGTCATTTTTCATGAATTGTCTTGTATGTATCTTGAAAGTCAGTCATAATATTCTTTTTTTTTTTTCATGGAATGGGATACTAACATTATTTTAATATCAATTCAGCTGTACTTAAGGTAATTTATTGAAAAACCCACGTACGCCCCGCGTATGCCTTATGCCCCACACTTTAGGCAAGTTAATATACCTTAAGTCCATTTTATTCTCCGGGGTTGTCCTTGACTGTAGGTTATTTAGTGGTCATACTATGTATGTTGTATGGACGTTTTTTATTTACTTCAGCACATACTTCGATTGTTTAGGACTAAGGCAAATGCGCGAAGGACGATACATAACAGCTCGGACATGGTTTGTTGGTGTTGTCGAGTCGTGAATGTCGTGAGTTGGTGGGTATTTGAAAAATACTTTTGATGGAGTAAAAAATATTCACCACATTGTCGTCTTCCGACTCGTGATCGCTATTTGAGAAGTTTTCTAGCCCAGCGGCCATCAGCTCTACGAGCTATGTCCTAAGTGCCCCGCCCTATGTGAGAAGACCTTTGTCTAGTGTGGACGTCATTTGGCTGAAACGAACCAAAGAATACTTAGTAGTTACCAAAATTGCGATTTACAGGCTTTTAGAGCAGAGTAAAAACTTTTGTCTGATCCCATTTTTAACCGTCTTGTAGCTATATTTTTGCGCAAGATCGACTGTTACTACAACTCGATCCGTCGCGCATTCACTATGCCCCCTGTCGTACATTCTTTAACACAACAATGGACCTTTTATCTCCAGGTGTAAGAAATGGGCCGGCACCTGGCAAACCCAGTTATAGAGGATTCTATAGAATTACCGCAAAGGTGTAACTACTGAGAGATTCGACGGAATAAAGATCTTTTGAAACAGGTTCCATGGACTGGAAGTGAAATGATGAGGGATCAGAATTTCGTAGAGTTCGCCATTTTATTGCAACATCATCTATTTTATGAATGAAAATAATAATATGTATAAATACATTATTTCTAAGAAATTCTAAGTGATAAATGTTGGTATCAATGAACTCTTTTTTATATTAGACGCATATTTAAGTTAATCCAAGCTTGGAAGAAATTCGCACGTGGGCGTCTCCACGCCCTCCCAAAAATTTATTATCACTGAGACCTACTTAAATAAAAAAATACATTGGCTAAAAGATGTTGAGATAAAAATAATTTATTATTTAGATAGGATGAAGGTTTATACATCAATAAAATAGCAATTAAAAGCGGCATGCTTAAATGTCAAGCCCCGAAATATTCGCAAGAGCACATAAAATGTAGGGACTAATTAATGTCCTAATTAATTATGAACCATAAACAAAGTTCGGAAAGATCACTCGTTTGTTCAGAATTATGGTTGTTTAGATTATCTTTGCTATTTATAGTCTGTATGCCAATTTTATTGGTGAAAGGAGAAACCGAGCAGTTCGAAGCGAAGTCATTTCCTGTGTTCTTGTTGCTATTTTTATTTAATTAGTCGTAAAACTTAATTGCTAATTTGTTCATACCGCTCACTTTAACTTGTTGGTATAAAATTTGCGTTTTTCTTTACATTTTACAAGCGTTCCAGTAAGCTTGGGAACTTAAAATTTTTATGTCTATTTTACTTCTACCTGCTAGATTTATTTAATTACTAGCTTTCCGCCCGCGGCTTCGCCCGCGTGGAATTTTGTCTGTCACAGAAAAACTTTATCGCGCCCGTCCCTGTTTCAAAAACCGGGATAAAAACTATCCTATGTTCTTTCCCGGGACTCAAACTATCTCTATGCCAAATTTCATCAAAATCGGTTGCGAGGTTTAAGCGGGAAAGCGTAACAGACAGACAGACAGACAGACAGACAAAGTTACTTTCGCATTTATAATATTAGTTGGGATGATGCAAATATATTTTTGTCTTTTGAAAATCTCATTTGGATTATTTCACGGTACATATTTCTATCTCGCAAATTCACCAGAAATAAGTAAGGTAACCTACTCTAAGATTATGAAATAATTTTTTATTGAATCGCAGTCAACATTCATTGCCAAAATATTGGTTAAAACTGAAT